TCACTAATTGCCAGGGAAATGCAAATCAACAACACAGATACTCTTCACTCCAGTTAGAATCGGTTTTATTATAGAATTATAATAAAAAAAGACAAAACAGATGTTGGCAAGGAGGTAGTGAAGAGAACACTGACAGACTGTTGGTGAAAATGTAAATTAGTACAAACACTATAGAAAACTGTATGGAGGTTCCTCAAAAAATTAAAAATAGAACTATAATATGCATATGATTCCATAATTTCACTACTAGATATATATCCAAAAGAAGCAAAATCAATATGTCAAAGATTTATCTGTACTACTTTATTTATTGCAGCGCTATTTACAGTAGTCAAGATATGGAATCACAAGTGGCCATTAACAGATGAATAGATAAAAAAGTGTGGTATATATACAGAACGGATAATTCTACCATAAAAAAAAGAAGTCCTGTCATTTGCAACAATATGAATGCAACTGGAGGTCGTCATGTTAGGTGAAATAAGACACAGAAAGACCTTATTTCAAAAACTAAAAAATTGGAATCTAAAAATAACATTGGGATCATAGAAGCAGAGAGTTTAAAATTTGGTTACCAGAGACGGCAGGAAGAGGATGGGAGGATGGGGAAAGGTTGGTCTGTGGTCCAAGTTACAATCAGATAGTGGGAATAAGTTCAACTTCTATTACACAGTAGGGTGAGGACAGTTAACAGTAAGACATGGCATATTATAATTAGAAAATAATTAGGGAAGCTTTTGAATGCCCTTACCACAAATGATAGATGCATAAGGTGATGGTCATGTGAAATACCCTAATTTGATCATAATACAACCTATATATGTATCAAAACATGTAATTCTACCCCATAAATATGTACATATAATAATTTTTAAACTCTCGTGGCATTTTTCATAGTAATAACAAAAAAACTTAAAATTCACATGGAACCACAATATACCCCAAATGACTAAAGCAATCTTCAGCAAGAACAAAGCTGAAGGCACTATAGCTCTTGATTTCAAATTATATTACAAAACTATAGTAATTAAAACAGTATGGTACTAACATAGGAACAGATACATAGACTAATGGAACAGAATAGACAGCATAGAAATAAACCCATACATTTATAGCCAATTGACTTTAGACAAAGATGACAAGAACACAGAATAGGGAAAAGACAGTTTATTTGATAAATGGTATTGGGACAACTGGATGTCCACATGCAGAAGAAAGAAATTAGTCTTATCTCATACTGTGTATAAAAATCAACTCAAAATGGATTAACGACTTATATGTAAAACCTGAAATTTTAAAACTACTCGAAGAAACGTAGGAGAAAAGCTCCATGCCGCTGGTCTTGGCAATGATTTTTCTGGATGTAACACCAGAACACAGATGACAAAAGCAAAAAGAAATGAGTGGGACTGCACTGAACTAAAAGATTTCTACAGCAGCAAAGGAAACAACAAAAATGAAAAGGCAACTTCTGGAATGAGAGAAAATATTTGCAAACCATATATCCAATAAGGGGTTAATATTCAAAATATATGAGTTCTAGTCCATTTTTGCATTGCTACAAAGAAATACCTGAGGCTGGGTAATTTATAAAGAAAATAAATTTATTTTGGGCCAGGCACATGGTGGCTCATGCATGTAATCCCAGCACTTTGGGAGGCCGAGGTGGGCAAATCAGTTGAGGAAAGGAGTTGTAGACAAGTTTGGCCAACATGGTAAAACCCCGTCTCTACTAAAAGTACAAAAGCTAGCCAGGCATGTTGACACACACCTATAGTCCTAGCTACTGGGAAGGGTAAGACATGAGAATCACTTGAACCTGGGAGATGGAGGTTGCAGTGAGCCAAGGTCATGCCACTGCACTCTAGCCTGGGCAATAGAGTGAGACTCTGTCTCAAAAAAATAAATAGTAACCAAAACCAAAAACCAAAAACAGGTCTATTTTGGCTCACGTTTCTGCAGCCTGTACAGGAAGCATGGCACCAACTTTTGTTCCTGGTGAGGTCTCAGGAAGCTTCTAATCATGGCTGAAAGTGGAGGCAGAGCTGGTGCATCACATGGCGAGAGAGATGAAGACAGAGCTAACAAAAGAGAGGAGGTGGGACGCTCTTTTAAACAACCAGATCTCATGTTAATTACCAGAGCAAGAACTCCCTCATCACCAAAAGGACAACATTTAGCCATTCATGAGGGATCTGCTCCCATAGTCCAAACACCTCCCACCAGACCCTATCTCCAGTATTGGGGAATACATTTCCACGTGAGGTTTGGAGAGGACAAACGTTGAAACTGTATCTAACTCATACAACTCAATAGCAAAAACGTCAAATAACCAGATTTTAAAAAATGGGCAAATGACCGGAATAGACATATTTCCAAAGAAGATATGCAAATGGCCAGTGGGTATATGAAAAAGTGCTTAACATCACTAATGAGGGAAATGCAAATCAAAACCACAATGATACATGACATCACACTTGTTAGGGTGGCTGTTATCAAATAGTCAAAAGATAAATGTTGGCAGGGATGTGGAGAAAAGGAAAACTTCCATGTTGTTGGTGAGGATGTAAATTGATACAGCCATTATGGACGATATTATGAAGTTTCTTTAAAAAATCAAAGAATTATACGATCTAGGAATTTCTGGATATATGTACAAAGGAAGTGAAATCATTGTCTTGAAGAGCTGTCTGCACTCCATGGTCACTGGAGCATTATTCCTAATAACCAAGATATGAAAACAACGCAAGTGTCTGTTATAAGATGAGTGGGTAAAGAAAACATGAGATATCTATCTATAGATATATATGTAACATGATTTGATATGCATATGCATAATATGCATATATTTACATATATCTGTATATCTATATATATATATACACACACACACACACATATACCCAGTGGAATAGTATTCGTCCCTCAAGAAGGAAATCCTTTCATTTGCCACAACATGGATGAACCTGGAGGACTTTCTGTTAAGTAAAATAACCAGACGTAGACATATTCACAATCTCACGTATGTGTGGAATCTAAAAATGTCGAACTCTTAGAGTAGAAGGGTGGTTACCCAGGGCTGAGGGGTAGGAGAAATGGGAAGACTTTGCATACAAACTTTCGAAGTTATAAGATGAATACATTCTGGAGATCTAATGTACAGCATGGTTACTAGAGTTGGTAATACTGTCTACTTGCAATGTATGAGGAGAGTAGATCTTAGATATTCTCACTGCACATAGACACACACACAAAGGTAACTGTGTGAGGTGATGGATATGTTTATTATCTTGGTTGTGGTAATCATTTCACAATGCATATGCATATCTAAATATCATATTACACACTTTAAGTATCTACAATTTTTTTGGTCATTTATACCTCAATAAATCTGGGGGAAAAAAGAGCGATCTCTTCTGAATTCTAGATTTCATGCTTTTTGTCAGTTTGTGACCCCCAATTTGAGTGTGGTTGTGAGACCTTAATAAATAGCAATACATTAAATTGTTTATTTAAAAAAATCCTATTCTGAATAATATTCCATTCTTTGGATGTACCACAGTTTATTTATCCATAGAGGAATTTTAGATGCATATTACCAACTGAAAAAAAACCTGAAAGGACTACATATACTGTATAACTCCAGCTATATAACATTGAGGAAAAGGCAGAATTATGGAGGACAGTAAAAAGATCAGGTTGCCAGAGATTGGGGAAAGGTGTGGGAGAGGGACAGATGACCAGGCAGATCACAGAGGGTTTTCAGGGCACTGAAATTACTCTGTATGATACTACAATAGTGAATTCATGTCACTATTTGTTTACTCACACTCATACAGTGTACACTAAGAGTGGGCCCTAATGTAAACTATTGACTTTGGGTAATGGTGATGTTTCAATGTATGCTCATCAGTTGTAACAAGCGTACTTCTCTGGTGGGGATTGTTGGTAATGGAGAAGGCTATGCACATGAGGGAGAAGGAGGTATATGGAACATCTCTGCATATCTCTCAATTTTGCTGTGTACCTAAAACTGCTCTTAAAAAAAAAAAAAAAACCTAAGTCTTAAAAGAATATGTACTCTCTCTGATATTGTTTGTAACATGCTCTATAAATGTTAAGTATGTCTACTTGGCTGTTAATGTCAATTTTTTTACATCCATACTGATTTAATTTCACTTATTGCATTAATACTGAGAAAGGAACATTTATGTATTAAAAAAAAGTCTAAAGAGAAAAAAAAAAAAAAAAAATCCTGCTTCAAAAGTATATTGTTTGCCCTTCCCTGTGACTCCCCTCCATGCAAATTAATTGCCAAATCCACCAAATACTTTTTTCTGTTTTTTCTTTATTTTTTCTTTTTTTCTTTTCTTTTCTTTTCTTTTTTCTTTTTTTTCTTTTTGAGATGTAGTCTCACTCTGTCACCCGGGCTGGAGTGCAGTGGCGTGATCTCAGCTTACTGCAATGTCAGCCTCCCGAGTACAAGCGATTCTCCTTGCCTCAGCCTCCTGAGTAGCTGGGATTTCAGGTGCATGCCACCACGCCTGGCTAATTTTCATAGTTTTTAGTAGAGTCCAGGGTTTCACCATGTTCATCAGGCTGGTCTTGAACTCCTGACCTCATGATCTGCCCTCCTCGCCCTCCCAAAGTCCTGGGATTACAGATGTGAGCCACAGTGCACAGCCCAAATACTCCTTGAAGGCCCCAGCAGACCAGTACAATCACATGCTCCTGGAATTTGACAGCTTGAAGTTTATAGCCTTACTAAACTGTTTATCTTATCTGTAGTGGTTGCTTTCCTTTACTCCTCAAGATCAATTCACATAAATCAGTTATTTAAGAATTTGAGAAAAATATGCCTTTGCCTTAATGTGTTATATTGTATTCATCAAGATCCTGACTCATTTGTGACATTTGCTGTTAGAATGAAAACTAATTCCGACCTCATTATCTTTATGTACATTTTTTTTTTTTTTTTTTTTGCCGCTCTCACCGTGAAGGTCATGGACAGTGTAATTGTGGACGATGTGACTGCAAAGCAGGCTGGTACGGGAAGAAGTGTGAGCACCCACAGTCCTGCACTCTGTCGCCTGAGGAGAGCATCAGGAAGTGCCAGGGAAGCTCTGCTCTGCCTTGCTCTGGGAGGGGTAAGTCAGGTCTCTCGGGGCTTGCCACGGCCTCTCCATCACGATTCAAATGAATTCATTGCACACACATCTTAATTTAAAAAACAGCTGAGATCCCTGAATGAGGGGCTATTAGTTTTTTTAGAACTAATAATAAATCCAATTTCCATGAATGAAAGTACACGGAGAAATATATTTCTCTTTCTCTCTACATATGTCTTTCGCACACAGACACTCTCACTCACTGTCAGTCTACTTTAGCCTTAAGGTATGTTCAGTTTCAGTTCAATTCAGTTCAATGTGACATCAAAAAAAGAAACAGTTTAGACATTTGCTTAAAGCTTTCTGAATGAGACCATCTAATTGTCCACTGACATTTATGAAACCCAGTAACATTATTTTGAGGACAGTGTTGGCTTTTGAAAATTCATTGTATAGACAAATAGCTATGAATAAGCTTTTGTCATTTTAGAAGGAAGGCATGTAGCCTCAGGTGTGTTCTTGGTATCAGATCAGTACAAATTAGAGAAGGACAAATTCATCTAGAAGAACACAGGTTCTATTCCTCTTGATTTATCAAAACAAGAAATGCAATTTCACTTCTCACATGAAAATAGCGAAGTTAATATGAAGTATACTTTTGAAGAACTCGTAATTGACACTATTACCAATTTTGTTCAAGAAAGAGGAAACAGAGTTTCTTCACTTGAACATTAGATCAGAAATTTAATTTTACCTTGCTTTTTTTTCTTTTTTTAAAAATGTATTTTTAATAGGGATATAGTTCACATACCATAAAATTCACATACCACTCAGTGTTTTAATATATTAGCATAATTATGCAGCCATTACCACTGTCCAATTACAAAAAAATGTTTATCATCATAAAATACTCTGTTAGCCTATAGCAGCCACTCCCCATTCTCTTGTCCCAGAACCCCTAGAAACCACCAGTCGACTTTCTGTCTCTATGAACTTGTCTATTCTGAATATTCCATACAAATGGAATCATAAAATATGTGATCTTCTTGCATCTGGCTTTCTCTACTTAGCATAAGTGTTTGCAAAGTTTATCAAAGTTGTCGCATATGTCAGTCCTTCATTCCTCTATGGCTGAATAATATCCTGTCGTATGGATACACCACAGTTATTTAACCCTTCTTCAGTTAATGGGCATTTGGACATGGGGTTTCTACTTTTTGGCCATTATGAGTAATGCTGTTACAAACATTCCTGTGCAAGTTTTTGGGTGGACATGTCTTTTAATTTCTTTGGGGTCTGTATCTGTGAGTGGAATTGCTGGGTCTTAGAGTGACTCTGCTGTACCTTTTGAGGTACCACAGGGCCGTCTTCAAAATGGCGATACCATTTTACATTCCACCAGCAGCGTGTGGAGTTTCCAGTTTCTCCACATCTTTGCCATTTCTTGGTATTGTCTGTCTTTTTGATTTTTTACAGTATTCTTTATAAAGACAACTCCATAAAGTCTCTCAGATTGTTTGCAGCATAAGTATTTTCTCATATCCATTTTCCCCTCATGGTTGTAAGTAGAAGAGTAGAGGACTAGGATATGGGTATAATAATTTTTTTTTTTTTAAATTTCAGAAGTATTTTTGACTAGCCCTGTATTTCACTAGTAACCCCAGACAGGAACCATTGTTCTATCTGCATTGTAATATTGTCATTATAGTGCTGCATAAGCCATCATGCTTTTAAAGAAACAAAGATTAAAATTCATATCCCTCAGACTGCTGATTTACCAACACTTGTAATCTACAGCAAAAAATAATTTTACATTATTGTTTTACATTTACAAAAAACTTTATCTATTAGGCCCAGCCATGTAAAAAAAAAAAAAAAATGAACATAGGAAGGCTAACCAGTGTCTTTTAAAAAAAATCTGTGTATCTTTTCAAAAATGTATTATAATCCTCAGAACAATTCCATTTCAAATTGAAAACCTTGGGAGGGAAAGAAAATGACTTTATCTCAAAAATAGATTTTTGGTCTTGAGGATACTTTTTCAGTTACATTTAAGTTAGAGAACTTTAGGTACAGTGATTTTTGCTGTTATCTTGAAGTGGTAAACCCAGCAAAGGGAGGTCTGGTATCTTAAAACATTATTTAAGTTAAAGGGTTCACATTCGGTAAAATTATTTAAACTCCAAATGGTTATGTCGCTAGTAGAAGTAAACAGAACAGAAACCAATAGGGATATGTACTTATATTTTAAAACAAAAAAAATGAACAAAATGTATAGTTTTAACAAATGCTTTCATATTTTGAAGTTAAAAATGTGAAACCATATAATGGAAAAATAAAAGCATACAAAATAGCTCTCACAGAGAAAATCACTGTAAGTATATACTTTTACCAATTTTTTTGTCTCTAAATTGTTTAATATGTAGAACAAGTAAAATAAAATTATTGGGGACTTAATAAACTCCACTAGGTTTTTCCTCAAACATGCATATTTCCTGCCTTTCTCGAGATTCACTGACTTATTTAGCTACCATTTTTAAGCAGTAGAGTATGTTTAAACTTTATTTTATTAAAAAGGTATTGAATAAATGTATAGAATTATGGTTTTTAAAATTATTTATAATTCATTTCAGCCTCTGGAAGTACTTTAAAACTAAATAAGTTTATCAGTTTCCTTACACGAGCAAAGTGATTTCGCAGGAAATCATGACACTATGTAAGATTTTTGAAAATGAAAACAAAGAAGTTACGATGGCCAGTTGAGTGCTTTTGGTCAAGGTCAGGTACCCTTTCTTTCTCATAGTGCTACATCTGCAAACTCATTGGCACTGGATGTTTTGAGGCAAGTGACCAGTATGAAAACTTTCAAAGAGTTTGTTTTGCAATTTATGAATGAAAACTGCAGCTGTGGTTACATGAGTTAGGAAAGCAGTTATAAGACCCATCAGTTTCTCAAGCCTGAGGGCCTCATTAGCTCACGAGCTGGGAAAAAAAAATCCTAGTAGAATATACTGAAGTTCGTCAGGGACCAGGTGAAGGCATTTACATATACATTATATATCTATAATATATATTATATATTTTATATATAAATTTTGTATATATTATATATTTTTACATATTTATATCAGATATATTTATATATATTTTATATATAAATATCAGGTGAATGCATTTACATATATCTATAATATAGATTATATTTTATATATAAATTTTGTATATATAAAATATGTCAGAAATTAAGTTAAATTATTAGTTTCTGTTGGTGGTGACTAAGTGTGATCATTATGTCTTGAAGGTAGAATAACTTATATGATATCTTGCATTCTGTATTCTGTGATTCCTTGATTTCTATGCCATATTGACTGTAGATATATTTTCATGTAATGAGATGTATCTCATGTAGCCAATATAGATATAAAGACACTCGTCCTAATTTCAGTTCCTGGGAGTAAAGGTGGGAAAACACTTTATCTAGTCTTCTAGTGTTCTGCTCAAAAACTATAATGGCTTATGATAGGCTAAACATTAGTTTTACATTCTTCCTGATTTAAGAATACATCATTATTATTATCGACGTTCTCCTGAGCATGAATTTGACTTTGGCTTAAAAAAAAATAAGTGAGTAAAATTAATTTGCATCACATCTGAGCAGAAGCTATACGAGGCAGTGAAAAATCTGCCATTCTCTCTCAGGCATGAGGATTTGCAGCGCTTGAGATCATCTCTGACCCATTAGCCTAGGTCTCTAAATGAGGATGGGTAGCAGAAATCTCTATTGATCCACCAAGGTTCTATGATGTGAGTGAGAAAGAAACTCCTGTTGTTTTAAACAAGTGAGATTTTGGAGGGAGGTGTTATTGCAGGAGAACTCCTGAATGATAATTGATTCCCCATATAAAATGTAGGAAATATGGTTAAGCCAAAGTAAGCAAACACAACAAAAATCATACTTACTTAATTTATATTTTATATTATATACATAATTTATAAATGCCATAATTTATATTCTTGGAGCAGGATTCATGTTCACATCTCTTAGTATTAATTCTTGGATATATAATACATAGGTCTAAAAAACATGCATATATTTGATAAGTGATGTATTTATGCTGTTCTATCAACAGCATTTATGTGCACTTAGTCAACAGGTAAAATAAGAACATTGAATAATACATTTTTTAAAATTTCCTAAAAACACAATGAGGTAGGAAGACGTATAATTATTATTCTTTTTGCAGAAAAAGAAATTAGATATCTGAACAGTTTGCCATTTTACATAATTCCAGTGGTGCAAGTTTAAAAAAAATTAATACATGTTCTCTGACTCCAAGGTTGTTGTTTTGGATAACTTACAGGTTCTTGTTACATGCCAATTTATTGGACAATATATATTAAACATATTTCCTGTTACACATGTAATTCTGCAGAGTATTGAAATGGCTGCATAATATTCCATTATATGGTTGTAACAAAATAATTCAATCAATCCTCTTTTTATTAGATATCTATATGTTCTCTTATTCAAGTTCTAAATGCCATAATTTATATTCTTGCAGCAGGATTCATGTACAAATCTCTTAATATTAATTCTTGGATATCGAATACATAGGTTTTAAATGAAAAACAGTAAAAAATATTTTGAAGAAAAAAATCTAAAATAGATTATACAGGTATGCTCTCCTGCCAGGGGCATAAGAAAAGTCTTCTTCACCCACTAGTAGTGACAATTTAAATAATCTGCTAGCTCTTCTCAATGTAGTTTGCTGTTGGTGTTACAAACTTTTGCCATTTATCAAACTTCTTTCATTGACTTCTATAATCATCAAAACGAATGATTTATCTGCAGGCATTATTATTCAGAGGCTTGTGTTTTCAGTATTTGCCTTCTTTGATCATCATTTGTCCTTGTGTCTAAGTCATCCTTTTGTTTGATACTGCAATCCCATGTGCTTTTCTTATCTGTCCGGTTTGCCCTTTGGTTTTGTTTTATCAGACTTGTTCTAAGAGGTATTGCTTATGTTTTAGTTCCTTAA